CGTGCTCTTCGGTCGTCGTCGTCGTCCTGCTTGGTCGGTACTCTTTCTTCCATTCATACCACTAACTACTTCTCGTCAACACCCTATCCCAGCGTTCTCTAGTCGCATGTGCTACATACTTTTCCTTCGCTTCGTCGCTGACCTTGTTCCAGAGTCTTCGATGCTGGTCGACAGCTTTTGTGTTGGTCAGTGTTGGGAAAGTCGGTTTTGTTGGAGCCATACCATCCCGCCATTTCATATCGCTCTCCACTCGCACGTTCTACTTGTCCTTCGCTTCTTTGCTAATGTTGTTGCAGTCTTCCCCTCGTATTTTTGGGAGAGTGGCCGTGTTCATTGCAGCCCACGCGTTCGTTCACCCTGTCCTTTACCTTGCCCTCCTCGCTGACCGCCTCGCAGAGCTCCCCTCCGTTTGCTCCCCCACTTCTAACCCATTACGACCCTAACGGGTTGGCAGACGACAACGATATCGGCATTTGGATCGAAATGAAGGTCTATTTGTCAAGGTAAGCTTTGTTACTTTTTCTCGCCTCTTCACTGACCTTGTAGTCTTCGCGCAATTCGCCCTTGTGTTGGTCAGCGTTGGGAGAGTCATTTCTGGTCGGAGTTCGTCCACTTTTTGCCATCTCTTGTCCCCCTCGCTAACCGCATCGCAGAACTCGCCTCCACTTCCTCTGTTTTCTGTACCTCTCCCCAATTTTGACCCAGATTGAGCTTGACATCTTGGTAGGCGACAACGACATGGGCGTTCGAATTGGAAGGACGGTCTAATTTTCGAGGTAAGCCTTGTTACCGCGACTTTTGCCAATACTGACCTTAAGATATACAGAATCGGCGATGCGCAGACCTTGACTTGCTTTTGCGAGCACAGAAGGGTGTCGTAGACTTGTTCTTTTTGCTCGATTTATTTCACTGATGCCGTCGTTTTAGGTCGGGACTTGTTTTATGGAGCTGGGAACGTGTCGTCGTCGAGCAGGGTGATTTTGCTAGTCAAGGAGGTACGTTTTCTGGCCGAGTTGACTCTACTTTGAAGCGCTGACCTTGTTTTGCAGAAGCGGAGCGTTGGAGATGGGTGCGGAGTCATTGTCGGCAAGGGTCGTGTCGAGCGAGCCTGGTTTAGCGTTGGCGGCTACCTCCTGCCGACAAACGGCTCCGTTTGGATATCTTTGGCGAAAACTTGCAGCAGTGACTGCCGAGTTGCCGCCTCTGGATAGCGCTGGCCGTTCTTGCTCAATGGTCACTGGCAGCAGCATGGCGATGGTCTTGGTGGCTGGTGGGTTGGCGGGAGACGGAGGAATGATTTTGCCGTTAGATTTTGAGACTGAGTAAGGGCGACGGCTAGGTTGCCCGGCGTCTCGCGTGCGGCAGCGCGAAGGGCATGTCTTGAGTGTCTAAGGTGTTGAGGTGGAGGCGCTATCGTCAGGGACAGTGAGCGCGTGAGAGAAGTTTCCGTAAGACGACACGTGTGATCGACTGACCCGCGTGAGGCTGTGCCACCCTGACTTACAACCAACCAACACGATCGAAATCGCGCTCCGCCCGCTGACGCGACTGTCGGCAGTGGCGGGCAGTGGCCGACCTTGGGATAGTGCAAAGGGAGCCTGTCCGGGCCGTGGTATGTCTCACGTGCACGTTTCTGGTTTGCGACAGCATGCTGACCACTACTTAGTAGAAGCACTTCCTTTAAGCCCGTGCCCATGCCGACGCCAACACCAACGCCCTCAGCAAGCTCTACACTGCTCCCAGGTACGCTGTATATCACTGTTTCTCACGCGCTTTACTTACATCTCGCAGGACTTTAGATCTTCAAGCGTTTATGCGAATGGGCACGCATCATGGCTTGGTCCACTCCGGTGAGTCTACTACCTACTCTTTCTTTCACACTATCCTGAACACTTGCTCAAGCCCTTGCCCACATGGTACTCGACCACTGTCTTCGCTTCTGGACGGCTCTTGGATAGCAATGCTGGTGTCGGTGAGTTCTCTTCGTTGACTCTTCTGCTTTCGGTGACCCTGTTGCAGTCACTCTATGTCTTCTGCCTCAAACAAGGTTGTTCTATTTGCTGTCGCTATCGTTGTTGTCGTTGTCAAAGGTGTGTCATCTCCCTTCCAATTTCTATCGATCTTATCCAAATTTCTCTAGCCTGTGTCGCGAATCAGAAACTTCCGTGCTAGTTGGGCCAGAAGCATCGTTGTCCGCCAATTACAAGAAAGCATTGCGTTGTTCAAGCATGGTATGTAAGTTTCTTTGTCTGCAGATATCACGATTGAACGTTGCTGATATTGTCTTCGCTTAGACAATACATATATCTATATGGTCAGCCCTCTGGCCTTGTCGCCCGGTTTCAACTCCCTCGTGAGTGTCCTTAACATTGTTGTCGAAAAGCTTTCTAACTGTTTGTTAGTGCCGTGAATAGTATTGAAGAGCGAGGGCCTTTGGTTGTCCTAGATGGCCTGCTCGTCGACAAACCTCGATGTTCTTGCTGTTTTGTGCCCATTTTGACATGGCTAACCTTTGCGTCCGAGTCAGTGGTGCTTGCGTTGCAGATGAGCTCGATTTATTCCTTCTGCGAGCGGGACCGGTAGGCCGTCTTGCTCCTTGGCCCGCTTTGGCCAAAACTGACCTAATTGCAGGTTCTTGATCAACATCGGGCATCCGACTGCTCTGAATTTCTCGGTCCAAGTTTGCGCAAGAGCTACTTTGCTGCCCATATTTCTGACCAAGCTGTGCAGATTCCTCCACGCGCGATCGCTCAATCGCCAACGTGAGCGGGAGAATACCTTTCAAACTAGGGAAAAACTGACCCGACTTCTAGTTTCTGCTCCATGTCGACCATGCAGGGCATTTGCGCCGAACGCGCTGGGTGCGGAACTCACGAATGACGGCGGGAGGATGTCATGTTGTCTGGTAAGTCATCTCGGTCATTTTTCGTAGTTAGCCCAAGCTTACCTTAATCCCAAGGTCGTGCTCTACATTCTGCGCTATTGCGTGTTCACTCAACGTGAGCGGGAGCATATCATGCTCATTTATCTTTCAAATTGGGCAAAGCTGACCCAGAACCCACAGATTCTGCTCCGGGTTGACGATGCGGGCATTCGCGCTGGATGCGGAACGTTGGGAGGGTGTGCTGTTGTCAGTAAGTCATCTTGGTCATTTTCCGTATTTAGGCCAAGCTTACCTTAAGCCCAAGGTCGTGCTGTACATTCTGCGCTATCGCGATGGACAGGTCTCCTCTGCGTCTCCCTTGTCGTGCGTGGTTTCTGCCTCCCGCTTTCTCATCCACTGACTCTACATTCAAGTTAGCATAGCCAATTTGGCGCGAATCGGGAGCGGCAGCGGCTCGGGAGATAGCTTCCAGTGAAGCTGGTCGATCGCGGGAGGGCGGCATTGTGTTGCCGCAGAGGCCGCATCGTTCCCCGCGTGTCGTGCGCCTTTTCTCTTTCTCGCTGTTCCCCGACTGACTTCTCGTTAGCGACGTTGATTCGGCGGGAATCGGCGGCGGCAGTGGTTCGGGGAAGGCTACAGGCAGCCGCCCGTGATGCTGGTCGAGTGCGGAAGGTCGGCTTTGAGTTGCCGGGGAGACTTGTGTTGATTTGTTATTACTTAGTGGTTGTGCGAGTTGAGTGCTCGCGGCCGTCTTGCTGGCCGGCCGCGGCAGGACTGGGAGCGCTTCCGCGCGCCGGCCAAGGACGTGTCCGTCTGGCCTGGGGCGGGCTACGCGCGGGGCCGTCGACGGGCGAGCGGGAAGGGAGAGGGTGCTTGGTCAGCAACACGTGCCCGGGCCTCGCGCCCGGCCGGCCGGTTGTCGTCCCACGCTCTTTCGTCTTGCCCGCCATGTCGTTCTGCTTGTCTGCTGTCCACCGGGTTAGTGGGCGGGCCGCTGAGGATGGTGCTCGCGCTTGCTCTCTGGCGGGCCGCGGGTTTGGTGGGACCCGGACAAGCTGCGGCAGCTGCAGCGCTACCACGCCTTGGTGAAAGTGCTGGTTGTTTGGCCAGCGGTATGCTGAGAGGTGAGAGCAGGCTTTGCATGTTACTTATCATTCGTTGCAGCCGTGTGGACACTGCCGCGGTCTTTTATGGCTATTGTCCGTAGCCTCACCTTGTCGAAGGGCAAACGTGAGCGGAGTTGCTGGTGCGTACATGTCTTTGACTCAAGTCGGGCGAAACTGAAGCAAACTCCCAGTTCTTGCTGGACACCGGCCCTCGCGCTCGATGATGGTCAGTCTCTGGTCGGTCTCTCACTGTATTTAACCCCAGCTGACCTTAATACAAGCTGTTGGTGGATGCGCTTGCTGGAGAGCTCGCAAACGCGCGGGGGGATGTTCTTTTTGTCTTGCTGAGCCGGGTGGCTCTTGCGCTGCACGAATGACGCCGGGATGTGGTTCACTGTCGTCCGGTCGTATGTTATCTCGCGCTTTTTCCGTATTTACCCCAAGCTGACCTTGATACACAGGTCGCGCTCGACATCCGTCACTCAGCGTTATAGCGGCATCGCGCTCGATGCAGGCGGGAAGTGGTATGTCTTTTTTCTTTGTTCGTATTAAGCCGAGGCTGACCTTAATTTAAGATACTGGAGTTGGAGCTCGTATATTCGCTGGAACTTGTGTATCTCACCGAAAAATCAATTGACAACATTTCTGAACTGTTGCTCCTTCAGCCCCAAAGGCTGTCCACACTGAGTCTAAATCAAAACTAGGATTCGATTCTAGCCCTGTATGCTAGTACATGGGGCCCAGCTCGAAGGTAATACTATCGAAGCATCAAGATAGGTACATAAGCGCGCAGGACTGGCTGCACTACAAGCATCGCGTCCTGGCGATACGGTCGTGGTACGAGAGCAGGTGCAAAGCAAGGGTCGGAAAGCGGGTTCGTATCAAGAAGAGACAGTGCTGTCTGGGGACGTGGTCATGTAAAGGATGGACGGGAGTTGTTGGGGAGGGGAGTCGGAGATAATGTGGACGGAGTAATCGGGGGTTGTGGTGGAACAATGGCAAAACTGTGCTCAGAAGGAACGGGCAACGCCAGCCCGATGCATGTGGCGAACCCGGGAACGACGGACTTCCTCGCGGACATCGACAACCTCTTGACGGCGGTGGTGGGAACGTTTCGCCCGACAGGAAGCTGAGCCAGATTTCGTCGGTACCGCGGATGCGACACTCGTGGTAGAGGAAGCCGGAGACGAAGCTTTCTTGGTGGTAGAGCTTGCAGGAGGGGAAGTGCTCTTCTTTGTGGTGGCGGGGGAGGACGGCTTCTCGGTAGTGTTATCATCAGAGCCACCCTGTGCTGGGGCCGGAGATCCACCACCAATGAAAGAGGCCACGGCTGGGCCTGGAAATTTGTAGGCGCCCTTCATGTTATAGACCTGGTGATGGGGACGGGTTAGTACAGCGAATAAGCATGATGAATGGCCGCACGTCAATGAGAATCCCAGCGTCAGTCGGTTTGTATGCGCCAGGAAGCTTGACGGTCTCGCTGTCGCTTGGCACACCCTTGCCTGCGCTAGTGACACTGAGCTGCACACAGCCAGGGTAAAACTCTGCACCGCCTTGAGACTGCGCAGTGTGGAGGGCGATGATTTCGTGTCGGAGGAGATAATTGCCCGCCTTGAGGTTCGCCGGAATGGTTACGGTCGCTGGAGAGCCATTGTCTATTTGGAGCGGTGAGTCAAAACGAGATTTAACATGAGGATGGGATTCGACACACCAAGGTTTGCCTGAGCCCATTTACCGCTCGCATCCATGCCCTGTTCTTGTATTTTGAACCACTTGGCCTTGCTGGCGTCAAATTGAGCACAATTGCCGCCACAGTCCGCCATAGTATAGGCCATCATGGGACCAACATCATGGAACCAGAAGCCGGAGCCCGTGAGCGTCTGCCAGAACACATCGAGCTTGCTACCGGCAGCGACGGTGGCCACTTGGCTGGCGAGCTTTGCGTGTTTGCTGCAGGTTGCGAGGTTGTGTGCTTAACAGGGAGGTTGTTGGCGGATGGCACTGGAGGCAGCGTTGGGCAGCTCCTCGGTGGGCTCGTTGCCTTTGAAGAGCTTCTTGGCGCCGCCCACGTTAACGCTAACAGAACCGATCCAGCCATGGGTGAGAACAGAAGAGACAAGGGTGAAGGTAACAAGGACGGAGTTGATTGGTGGGCGAGATGAAGGAGTGACTGGGCAGGAGGCGGAAGCAAGGCGGAAAGGAGGAAGATGAGGGGAGAGCAAAGCTGGCTTGGTCAACCGAGCAAGGCTTCGATTGAGTGGAGCGTATACACGACGCGACGTGGCACTGTGTGCGTGTGTGCGCCTGTGCGTGTGTGCGCCTGTGCGTGTGTGCGTCCTCCGCCTCCGCCTCGACTCGACTCAGGACGTGCGCCGTCTGTGCGTCTGTGCGTCCTCCGCGCGTTTGATTTTGATTGATTAAATCTGCTTATATAACATGTTACCCTCCCTTGCACGCCTCGCTCCAACGCTAAGTCGCGCTCGCTCGCCAAGTCGCGCGAGCGAGAGCGTACTCTAATATACAACTTTCTGAGGCGCACGGACCTCTAGAAAGTCACGAGGTAAACCTAGTAGGGGAGAAAAAAAAATGGATTTGGGGCTGGTTTGGACGTGTCTGGCGGGGGTCTCGGGCATGGTTTGGGGAGACAAGGCATTGGTCTCATTCTCGGGCAGTCCGGGCAGGTATGAAATCGTGCAAAGGCCATATATTCTCTAAGTTTAACGAGACACGCTAATTTAACACGCGTCGCGACGCGTCTAACCCCATCAAACCGAGCGGACAGACACCCAACTCCCCATTTCCACCAGTCAGCGACAGTGGGCAACACTGTCGGGGGCGCGTTGATAGTCCAGCGGTTCGCAGGCCTCCGGCGGCTGAGACCTGTGAAAAAATGAGCTTGAAGCACGCAAAACGGGGGTAAAAATGCACCTCCACCAAAGTGCCATCAAAACCGCCGCGGGGGCTCTCCAGCAACAGGTCGGCGCAAAGTTTCCGTCACCCCCGAACACGTCCCGCGAAAGACAGTGGTCCCACACTGTCCCGGCTGCGTTGCAAGTAGGGCGGGACGTTTGCCTGCCCGGCAGCGCAGACCTGTAAAAAAAGTGAGCTTGAATTGCACAAAAAAGACGCAAAATGTACCCTCCGGAGTGCCATCAAAAGCGCCGCGGACGCGCGTCAAGGTTCTTCCCCGCGCAAGACAGTGGTCCAACACTGTCCTGGTAGTGTCCAGTAGGGCAGGGACGTATGCCTGCCGGCGGCGTGGACCTGGGAAAAGGTAAGCTTTGAATCGCGCAAAAGAGGTGGAAAATGCACCTTGAAACTCCATCAGAATCGGCGCAAAACGTCGTTGATGTGCGCATGTCCGCCAGCAAGGGGATACCATTGCGGAAGGGAGGTTGCTTGACCGTGCGGGATGCCGCGATAAGGCGCGACCAGTCGGAGCCAGGGCAGGGACTCTGAATGTCAAGGCCGGACTCGGAGGCGGGAGTCGGGACGGCAAAGCCCATGGAGTATGTGTTAAAGGGCAAGCAACAACCCGGCACCGCCCAGCGCAGAGCGTAGCGTTGAAGGCCAGCGGTGAGCAACCCTGCAGGCGGGCGCGAGGGTCGGGGACAGGTCGGGGTCAAACGACGGCGAGGATGACTTCGCTGCCACGTGGGAATATCGAAGAAGGCCGGACTCGGAAGGCCGGACGGCCAAGGCAATGGAAGACCTATGTGACAACTCGGCGGCCAGCGCAGATAGTGGCATTGTCGAATCAAGTAAGGCCGGGGGTAGGCCGGGTATGGCCGCGGGGTAAGTGTGCTGCGGGGCGACAAGGATAGAGGGTGTAAGATGAATGGACGCCGATGTCGGGGTGAGATGGCCGAGGGGTAATGTGATGGAGGCCAACAACTCGGGGGCCAGCACAGAACGTGGTGCGGGTGAGCCAATCGAGGCTGGCGATGACCGGGTGTTGCGAGAGCAGGTAGTAGAAAAAGTGGCCGCAATGTGGCTGCGAACACTGGGTAGCCAATGACAAAGCCAATAGGCGAGCAGCAACAGTGGTGGCCGATATCGTTCATGGTCATCGGCAGGATGGCCGACAGGCACCGCAGAGCATGATGCGGGAGGCCCGAGTAAAGTCGGGAAAGCCGGAGGCAGTAGGCGATGACCAAGATACTCCCCGGCCAGCAACAGTGGTGGCCCCACTGTGCCGACATGGTTGATGGCCAGGCGGTAACACATGCCTCCGGCGGCAAAACCCTATGAAAAAGTGAGCCTTGAATTCAGTTAAAAGTGGGTAAAAATGCACCTAAAAATACCATCAAAATCTGATGATGGCATCAGATCCGACCGATGCCGAGGGCGGCGGCACCATCGGCCAACCAGTTGTCGATCAAAACCGAGCACGTCGCCGGAAGCCCCGCAGTCGGGGCGGTACATTGGCCTCTGGCAGTGAAAATCTGTGAAAAAATGAGCTTTTTGACCATCAAAAGATCAGCCAAATGTGCTTACGTAAGCGCTAAGTGCAGTCCAAAAACGGCCAAGATACTGCCCGGGAAGTCCGACGCAGAAGCAATATAGCGCATCTGGACACAACATCAGTGACATTTAGCAGAACAAATGAAATCACAACGTACCAGCATGGTTCGGCATCCGAGCAGAGGTTCCCCCTCTGGCGCTCATAGCAACCCCGCCTCGACCGAGAATCTAAGCCCCACATCAGCATCAGCATTATATCACACGACTAAGCGCGACCACTTACACGCTGCCCGAGCAGAGGTTGCCCCTCTAAACAACGTCATAGTCGTGGTCGGTCCTGCGCACAATGGTAGTGTCGGATGGATGGCGGCCAATGATGGTCTGGGCATACGAGCAGAGGTTCCCCCTCTGGTCGAAGACGGGTAGCGAGCTCTGAATAGGCGGTCAGCATATATATATATAAGCAATGAACGGACATACTTTGGCTAGTGCAGCAACGTTGCCTTGTTGACAATGACAAGGAATCTAAGCCCGGCATTAGCATGACATCATATACACATAAGCGCGACGACTTACGGACAGCCCGAGCAGAGGTTCCCCCTCTAGACATAGTCGCAGTCATGGTTGACAACAACACTGGGTCATACGTCAATACTATACGATACATACTTGGCGGAGTCAACTTACGAGCAGCAATAATGTGTCCGAGCAGAGGTTCACCGTCTCGGAAGCCAATAACAGCCATGTATCTAAGTCAGAACGTCAATGTCTTATCCCAGATAGGATAGAGGAAGGACATACCGGAGTTCCGCACGCAAGCAAGGTTCCCCACCAGATACAAACGGAAGGAGCACTGCCGCCAGCATAGTTTCCTCCCGTTGCGGTTGCGATCGATAAGAACACCAGCGAGGCTAAGTCGGACATTAGTCACTTATTATGTTAAGAGCAAATACAACTTACGGAGAAGAACTCGACGTCCAAGCAGAGGTTCACCCTCTAGCGAGAAATTGGGTAGCCACCCGTGACGACAATCTGGTCGATATGTTAGTGTACTGTACACAATATGATAAAGGGAAAAACATACCAACAAGGGTTCCGCAGAGTGTCCCCCCTCCGAGTCGTAAGGGTGATGGTGCCGCAGACCAAAACGCCAGCGCCAGTAGAAGCAGCGGCAGCGACGCCTAGATGAAGCAGAACATCGAGCAGAAGTTCCCCATCCGAACGACTCGAAACTAGCACGGTGTGAGGCAGGCCAGAGCTTATGGAGAAAGAATACATACCTACAGGTGCTCGCCCAAGACGTCCATGACTCGCTAGGAGGCAGGCTTGAAGAGTTTTGGTGGTCGTTGTTGGTCAATAAACACAACGAGTTGCGTCTGTCAAACAGGTCAGAACCCTGCCAAGTTTACAGCTAGACACGTACGGGAGGCAGAAAATGGCCTTGGATGTCGAAGAACCGCCAGTGCTAACCGGGAGTTCTTGTACAGTCATGAAATGCCCGACTTGAAGGTTGAGTAGGGTGACGAAGAAGTTGCTGTAGGGGTTGCGATGAGCGAGAGCAGTGACGGGACACCAACGAGCATACCTTTGTTGATGGGGGATGCGTCGACAAGCGTCGTGGTGGGGGAGTGAAGACAAGCCAGGAAGTAGCGCATGACTTGGTTGATGATTTGATTTCTCCACGGAAATCACGTGCACATCACCGGTGTCAAGCACGCTGTCACCGATTCAGGGTCGGCGAATCGACGGCACGGCGAATGGTGAGGCCTAGGCTTGCCGAGGGCCAGGTGGTGCGGGCTAAAATTAGCTGCCCGTGCTGGTGCCTTGAATGCCAAAGGGCGGACTATGCGCATGATGAGTATCGATGGCGCATCATGACCATGCGCAGTGCGGCACATCGGAAGGAGGGTTCAAGGGGTGGTTGGTCTGCGGACTATTTTTGAGCCATGTCCGAAATGGCGGGCGGCTTTGATGCTGGATCGCCGGTTGCCTTCGGGATGGCCTGTCATTGATGCGGCCAAGCTTCGGCGGCCTGGTCATGCTCCCCAGGTTGATGACGGCCTTTTGAGTCGTGAGCGGGCATGCTGAGAGGAAAGGTTGCAAGCCTATGGGGGGCAATGATGACAAAGATACTTGACTTGAAGCGTAATGTGCGGAATTTAGACCAAGCTATTTTTGGCCACATACCCTGATGCAGCTCAGGGAATCGAATGCCGCCGGGGCTCAGGGAAACAAACGCCGCCGATGGAGCACAGGCAGTGCACTCAGGGTCTTATTATGATAGAACTTGAGAAGCACGGCAGACGGGAAATGAAGATTACGGCTGACAGGCCGGATGATGAGAACATGAATAGCCGTGCTGGGTGGCCAGATATGTTCTCCTTGCCCAGCTGGCTCTTGTTCTCTGTGGTTTTCTCTCTTGTTGTGTTCCAATCTTTTTATTTGCGCAACACAGTGAGAAATTCCTTTTTTCTCCAATTTTGATATCATTTGACACCGAAATAGACGCCTTTTCAGCGCGCCATACGCCAATTTTTTGCGCGGTGCGCGTTCTTCTTGAGCGCGCAGTTTGGTGTCGCCATCAGCTGCTCACATCCACCACCAAATCAGGCAATTCACCCGGTAGGGCTCGGACTCGTCGCCCTTGACACTTGCACGTGGGCTCAATTCAGACTATTTTTAGATGACAGCTACCCCCAAGTAATCCACTGCGTCCGACCCTTATCCACGCTCGCGATGCTAAACTATTCGAGCAAAAACGCAAATCTACAAAATCCTGCATCGTCTCGACGGCTGGGGGCTATTTCGTCCGATCAAAGACGTCAAAGTGTCAGGGTCACTCAGCCCTACCCTGAATGGCTGTCCGATTTCTTGCGCGACGGCGGAAATATACGATCTTCCCAAATGATTCATGTTGCCCACATTGATGCCCGTGTTATGAAGCACGGGCTGAGAAGTCAACTGCCGCACTGCCCCCACTTGACAGATCGATCCGTTGCGTGAGTTTTGACGCGTTTATTTGCGTCTCCCAAGTGCCCAGTTGACCAAGCTTCCGCTGAGTTCATGTTTTCCTCACATCTAGATTTCATGCCCGTGACGAGCTCAATCTATCCAGGTTTTGACTCAGACATACTCGCAAGGACATCCTTCAACCAGTGCGGCACTCAAAATAGCTCGCTTAGCCGTCGTCAACTAACATCTTCTCATTCCAAACTTAATCACTCAGCATTTTGCGAAGATAACGAAAGCATCCAGCCCGGGCGGTGTACGTCACCGAGGGAGTATAAGAAGCCACGGCCTTCAACCGTCGCGCACCTCCCCCCCCTCTTTCTTCCCCCACCATCCACCCAAAGTCAACTTCACGTGCTCTTCGCTCGTCGTCGTCCTGCTTGGTGGGCACTCTTTCCTCCATTCATACTACTAACTACTTCTAGTCAACATCCTATCCCGCCGTCGCACATCGGCCTCTACTTGCATGTGCTACTTATCCTTTGCTTCTTTGCTAACCTTGTTGCAGAATCTTCTTCGCCCTCGACAGCTCTTGGGTTGGGTAGCCGTCCGTTCACCTTCTGCTTTATCTTGCCCTCCTTGCTGACCGCCTGGCAGAGCTCCCCTCCACTCCCTCCCCCGCTTCTAACCCATTTCGAGCCTAACTTGTTGGCAGACGACAACGAGATGGGCATTTGGATCGAAACAACGGTCTAATTGTCGAGGTAAGTTTTGTTACTGCTTTTCACGCTGACCTTGTTGCAGAGTCTTCGCGCAGTCCGCCCATTTGTTGGTCAGCGTTGGGAAAGTTGTTTCTGGTCAGAGTTCGTCCACTTTTTGCCATCTCTTGTCCCCCTCGCTAACCGCATCGCAGAACTTCGCCTCCACTTCCTCCCTCTCCCCAATTTTGACCCAGATCGAGCTTGACATTATGGCAGACGACAATGACGTGGGCGTTCGTATTGGGAGGACGGTCTAATTCTCGAGGTAAGCCTTGTTACCGCGACTTTTGCCAATACTGACCTTAAGATATACAGAATCGATGCGTTGTCCTTGACTTGCTTTTGCGAGCACAGAAGGGTGTCGTAGACTTTTTATTTCACTGATGCCGTCGCTTTAGGTCGGGACTTGTTTTATGGAGCTGGGAAGGTGTCGTCGTCGAGGAGGGTGATTTTGCGATCCAAGGGGGTACGTGTTCTGGCCGACTTGACTCTACATTGAAGCGCTGACCTTATTTTGCAGAGCCTTGGAGATGGGTGCGGAGTCATTGGCGGCAAGGGACGTGTCGAGCGAGCCTGGTTTGGCGTTGGCGGCTACCTCCTGCCGACAAACGGCTTCGTTTGGATATCTTTGGCGAAAAGCAGCAGCTGCCGAGTTGCCGTGTCTGGATAGCGCTGGCCGTTCTCGCTCAATGGTCACCGGCAGCATGGCGATGGTCTTGGTGGCTGGTGCAGGTGTTGGCGGGAGGCGGAGGATGGTTTTTGCCGTTAGATTTTGAGATTGCGAGCGTGATGGCTGGGTTGCCCGCCGCGTGTCATGTGCGGCAGCGTAAAGGCCGTGTCTTGAGCGTCTGAGGCCCCGAGGCGGAGGCGCCATCGTCGGGGACAGTGAGGGTGTGAGGGAAATTTTCGTAAGGCCGCTGTCAGCGTGTGATCGATCGACCCGTGTGAGGCTGTGCCCGCCCGACTTTCAACCAACCAACACGATCGAAATCGCGCTCCACCCTCTGACGCGACTGTCGGCAGTGGCGGGCAGTGGCCGACCTTGGGATAGTGCAAAGGGAGCCTGTCCGGGCCGTGGTATGTCTCACGTGCACGTTTCTGGTTTGCGACAGCATGCTGACCACTACTTAGTAGAAGCACTTCCTTTAAGCCCGTGCCCATGCCGACGCCAACACCAACGCCCTCAGCAAGCTCTACACTGCTCCCAGGTACGCTGTATATCACTGTTTCTCACGCGCTTTACTTACATCTCGCAGGACTTTAGATCTTCAAGCGTTTATGCGAATGGGCACGCATCATGGCTCGGTCCACTCCGGTGAGTCTACTACCTACTCTTTCTTTCACACTATCCTGAACACTTGCTCAAGCCCTTGCCCACATGGTACTCGACCACTGTCTTCGCTTCTGGACGGCTCTTGGATAGCAATGCTGGTGTCGGTGAGTTCTCTTCGTTGACTCTTCTGCTTTCGGTGACCCTGTTGCAGTCACTCTATGTCTTCTGCCTCAAACAAGGTTGTTCTATTTGCTGTCGCTATCGTTGTTGTCGTTGTCAAAGGTGTGTCATCTCCCTTCCAATTTCTATCGATCTTATCCAAATTTCTCTAGCCTGTGTCGCGAATCAGAAACTTCCGTGCTAGTTGGGCCAGAAGCATCGTTGTCCGCCAATTACAAGAAAGCATTGCGTTGTTCAAGCATGGTATGTAAGTTTCTTTGTCTGCAGATATCACGATTGAACGTTGCTGATATTGTCTTCGCTTAGACAATACATATATCTATATGGTCAGCCCTCTGGCCTTGTCGCCCGGTTTCAACTCCCTCGTGAGTGTCCTTAACATCGTTGTCGAAAAGCTTTCTAACTGTTTGTTAGTGCCGTGAATAGTATTGAAGAGCGAGGGCCTTTGGTTGTCCTAGATGGCCTGCTCGTCGACAAACCTCGATGTTCTTGCTGTTTTGTGCCCATTTTGACATGGCTAACCTTTGCGTCCGAGTCAGTGGTGCTTGCGTTGCAGATGAGCTCGATTTATTCCTTCTGCGAGCGGGACCGGTAGGCCGTCTTGCTCCTTGGCCCGCTTTGGCCAAAACTGACCTAATTGCAGGTTCTTGATCAACATCGGGCATCCGACTGCTCTGAATTTCTCGGTCCAAGTTTGCGCAAGAGCTACTTTGCTGCCCATATTTCTGACCAAGCTGTGCAGATTCCTCCACGCGCGATCGCTCAATCGCCAACGTGAGCAGGAGAATACCTTTCAAACTAGGGAAAAACTGACCCGACTTCTAGTTTCTGCTCCATGTCGACCATGCAGGGCATTTGCGCCGAACGCGCTGGGTGCGGAACTCACGAATGACGGCGGGAGGATGTCATGTTGTCTGGTAAGTCATCTCGGTCATTTTTCGTAGTTAGCCCAAGCTTACCTTAATCCCAAGGTCGTGCTCTACATTCTGCGCTATTGCGTGTTCACTCAACGTGAGCGGGGGCATATCATGCTCATTTATCTTTCAAATTGGGCAAAGCTGACCCAGAACCCACAGATTCTGCTCCGCGTTGACGATGCGGGCATTCGCGCTGGATGCGGAACGTTGGGAGGGTGTGCTGTTGTCAGTAAGTCCTCTCGGTCATTTTCCGTATTTAGGCCAAGCTTACCTTAAGCCCAAGGTCGTGCTGTACATTCTGCGCTATCGCGATGGACAGGTCTCCTCTGCGTCTCCCTTGTCGTGCGTGGTTTCTGCCTCCCGCTTTCTCATCCACTGACTCTACATTCAAGTTAGCATAGCCAATTTGGCGCGAATCGGGAGCGGCAGCGGCTCGGGAGATAGCTTCCAGTGAAGCTGGTCGATCGCGGGAGGGCGGCATTGTGTTGCCGCAGAGGCCGCATCGTTCCCCGCGTGTCGTGCGTCTTTTCTCTTTCTCGCTGTTCCCCGACTGACTTCTCGTTAGCGACGTTGATTCGGCGGGAATCGGCGGCGGCAGTGGTTCGGGGAAGGCTACAGGCAGCCGCCCGTGATGCTGGTCGAGTGCGGAAGGTCGGCTTTGAGCTGCCGGGAGACTTTTGTTGATTTGTTATTACTTAGTGGTTGTGCGAGTTGAGTGCTCGCGGCCGTCCTGCTTGCCGACTTGGAGCGCTTCCGCGCGCCGGCCAAAGACGTAGCTCGGGCCGGGCCATGGGCAGGTCCGTCGGTGGGCTAGCGGGCAAGGGTGGTCAGCGACACGTGCCCCGGGCCTCGCGCCCGGCCGGCCGGTTGTGGTCCCACGCTCCTTCGTCTTGCCCGCCATGTCGTTTAGCTTGTCTGGCGTCCACTGGGTTAGCGAGCGGGCCATTGCGGATGGTACTCGCGCTCGCACTCTGGCGGGCCGCGGGTCTCGTAGTTGCCGGGGACGCAGCTGCAGCACTAGCACGCCTCGGTGAAAGTGCTGGTTGTTTGGCCAGCGGTATGCTAAGAGGTGAGACTTTCCTTTTGCTTCGCTTTGCATCTTACTTATCGTTCGTCGCAGCCGTGTGGACACTGCCGCGGTCTTTTATGGCTATTGTCCGTAGCCTCACCTTGTCGAAGGGCAAACGTGAGCGGAGTTGCTGGTGCGTACATGTCTTTGACTCAAGTCGGGCGAAACTGAAGCAAACTCCCAGTTCTTGCTGGACACCGGCCCTCGCGCTCGATGATGGTCAGTCTCTGGTCGCTCTCTCACTGTATTTAACCCCAGCTGACCTTAATACAAGCTGTTGGTGGATGCGCTTGCTGGAGAGCTCGCAAACCCGGGGGATGTTCTTTTTGTCTTGCTGGGCTCTTGCGCTGCACGAATGACGCCGGGATGTGGTTCACTGTCGCCTGGTCGTATGTTATCTCGCGCTTTTTCCGTATTTACCCCAAGCTGACCTTGATACACAGGTCGCGCTCGACATCCGTCACTCAGCGTTATAGCGGCATCGCGCTCGATGCAGGCGGGAAGTGGTATGTCTTTTTTCTTTGTTTGCATTGAGCCGAGGCTGACCTTAATTCAAGATTCTGGACTTGGAGCTCACTGCTCAGATATTCGCTGGAGCCTGTATATCTCACCGAAAGATCAATTGACAACATTTCTGAATCTCGGCTGTTGCTACTTCAGCCCCAAAGGCTGTCCACACTGAGTCTAAATCAAAACTAGGATTTGATTCTAGCCCTGTATGCTAGTACATGGGGCCCAGCTCGAAGGTAATACTATCGAAGCATCAAGATAGGTACATAAGCGCGCAGGACTGGCTGCACTACAAGCATCGCGTCCTGGCGATACGGTCGTGGTACGAGAGCAGGTGCAAAGCAAGGGTCGGAAAGCGGGTTCATATCAAGAAGAGACAGTGCTGTCTGGGGACGTGGTCATGTAAAGGATGGACGGGAGTTGTTGGGGGGGGGAGTCGGAGATAATGTGGACGGAGTAATCGGGGGTTGTGGTGGAACAATGGCAAAACTGTGCTCAGAAGGAACGGGCAACGCCAGCCCGATGCATGTGGCGAACCCGGGAACGACGGACTTCCTCGCGGACATCGACAACCTCTTGACGGCGGTGGTGGGAACGTTTCGCCCGACAGGAAGCTGAGCCAGATTTCGTCGGTACCGCGGATGCGACACTCGTGGTAGAGGAAGCCGGAGACGAAGCTTTCTTGGTGGTAGAGCTTGCAGGAGGGGAAGTGCTCTTCTTTGTGGTGGCGGGGGAGGACGGCTTCTCGGTAGTGTTATCATCAGAGCCACCCTGTGCTGGGGCCGGAGATCCACCACCAATGAAAGAGGCCACGGCTGGGCCTGGAAATTTGTAGGCGCCCTTCATGTTATAGACCTGGTGATGGGGACGGGTTAGTACAGCGAATAAGCATGATGAATGGCCGCACGTCAATGAGAATCCCAGCGTCAGTCGGTTTGTATGCGCCAGGAAGCTTGACGGTCTCGCTGTCGCTTGGCACACCCTTGCCTGCGCCAGTGACACTGAGCTGCACACAGCCAGGGTAAAACTCTGCACCGCCTTGAGACTGCGCAGTGTGGAGGGCGATGATTTCGTGTCGGAGGAGATAATTGCCCGCCTTGAGGTTCGCCGGAATGGTTACGGTCGCTGGAGAGCCATTGTCTATTTGGAGCGGTGAGTCAAAACGAGATTTAACATGAGGATGGGATTCGACACACCAAGGTTTGCCTGAGCCCATTTACCGCTCGCATCCATGCCCTGTTCTTGTATTTTGAACCACTTGGCCTTGCTGGCGTCAAATTGAGCACAATTGCCGCCACAGTCCGCCATATAGGCCATCATGGGACCAACATCATGGAACCAGAAGCCGGAGCCCGTGAGCGTCTGCCAGAACACATCGAGCTTGCTACCGGCAGCGACGGTGGCCACTTGGCTGGCGAGCTTTGCGTGTTTGCTGCAGGTTGCGAGGTTGTGTGCTTAACAGGGAGGTTGTTGGCGGATGGCACTGGAGGCAGCGTTGGGCAGCTCCTCGGTGGGCTCGTTGCCTTTGAAGAGCTTCTTGGCGCCGCCCACGTTAACGCTAACAGAACCGATCCAGCCATGGGTGAGAACAGAAGAGACAAGGGTGAAGGTAACAAGGACGGAGTTGATTGGTGGGCGAGATGAAGGAGTGACTGGGCAGGAGGCGGAAGCAAGGCGGAAAGGAGGAAGATGAGGGGAGAGCAAAGCTGGCTTGGTCAACCGAGCAAGGCTTCGATTGAGTGGAGCGTATACACGACGCGACGTGCGTGCGTGCGTGTGTGTGCGTCCTCCGCCTCCGCCTCGACTCAGGACGTGCGCCGTCTGTGCGTCTGTGCGTCCTCCGCGCGTTTGATTTTGATTGATTAAATCTGCTTATATAACATGTTACCCTCCCTTGCACGCCTCGCTCCAACGCTAAGTCGCGCTCGCTCGCCAAGTCGCGAGCGAGCGAGCGTACTCTAATATACAACTTTCTGAGGCGCACGGACCTCTAGAAAGTCACGAGATAAACCTAGTAGGGGAGAAAAAAAAATGGATTTGGGGCTGGTTTGGACGTGTCTGGCGGGGGGTCTCGGGCATGGTTTGGGGAGACAAGGCATTGGTCTCATTCTCGGGCAGTCCGGGCAGGTATGAAATCGGACAAGGGCCATATATTCTCTAAGTTTAACGAGACACGCTAATTTAACACGCGTCGCGACGCGTCTAACCCCATCACCAGACCCCACCACCCCATTTCCCCAGTCAGCGACAGTGGGCAACACTGTCGGGGCGCGTTGATAGTCCAGCGGTTCGCAGGCCTCCGGCGGCTGAGACCTGTGAAAAAATGAGCTTGAAGCACGCAAAACGGGGGTAAAAATGCACCTCCACCAAAGTGCCATCAAAACCGCCAGGGGGCTCTCCAGCAACAGGTCGGCGCAAAGTTTCCGTCACCCCCCGAACACGTCCCGCGAAAGACAGTGGTCCCACACTGTCCCGGCTGCGTTGCAAGTAGGGCGGGGACGTTTGCCTGCCGGCAGCGCAGACCTGTGAAAAAAGTGAGCTTGAATTGCACAAAAAAAGACGCAAAATGTACCCTCCGGAGTGCCATCAAAAGCGCACGGACGCGGTCAAGGTTTCCCCGCGCAAGACAGTGGTCCAACACTGTCCTGGTAGTGTTCCGAGTAGGGCAGGGACGTATGCCTGCCGGCGGCGTGGACCTGTGAAAAGGTAAGCTTTGAATCGCGCAAAAGAGGTGGAAAATGCACCTTGAAACTCCATCAGAATCGGCGCAAAACGTCGTTGATGTGCGCATGTCCGCCAGCAAGGGGATACCATTGCGGAAGGGAGGTTGCTTGACCGTGCGGGATGCCGCGATAAGGCGCGACCAGTCGGAGCCAGGGCAGGGACTCCGAATGTCAAGGCCGGACTCGGAGGCGGGAGTCGGGACGGCAAAGCCCATGGAGTATGTGTTAAAGGGCAAGCAACAACCCGGCACCGCCCAGCGCAGAGCGTAGCGTTGAAGGCCAGCGGTGAGCAACCCTGCAGGCGGACGCGAGGGTCGGGGACAGGTCGGGGTCAAACGACGGCGAGGATGACTTTGCTGCCACGTGGGAATATCGAAGAAGGCCGGACTCGGAAGGCCGGACGGCCAAGGCAATGGAAGACCTATGTGACAACTCGGCGGCCAGCGCAGATAGTGGCATTGTCGAATCAAGTAAGGCCGGGGGTAGGCCGGGTATGGCCGCCGGGGTAAGTGTGCTGCGGGGCGACAAGGATAGAGGGTGTAAGATGAATGGACGCCGATGTCGGGGTGAGATGGCCGAGGGGTAATGTGATGGAGGCCAACAACTCGGGGGCCAGCACAGAACGTGGTGCGGGTGAGCCAATCGAGGCTGGCGATGACCGGGTGTTGCGAGAGCAGGTAGTAGAAAAAGTGGCCGCAATGTGGCTGCGAACACTGGGTAGCCAATGACAAAGCCAATAGGCGAGCAGCAACAGTGGTGGCCGATATCGTTCATGGTCATCGGCAGGATGGCCGACAGGCACCGCAGAGCATGATGCGGGAGGCCCGAGTAAAGTCGGGAAAGCCGGAGGCAGTAGGCGATGACCAAGATACTCCCCGGCCAGCAACAGTGGTGGCCCCACTGTGCCGACATGGTTGATGGCCGGGCGGTTACACACGCCTCCGGCGGCAAAATCCTGCGAAAACGTGAGCCTTAAATCCAGTTAAAAGTGGGTCAAAATGCACCTAAAAATACCATCAAAATCTGATGATGGCATCAGATCCGACCGATGCCGAGGGCGACGGCACCATCGGCCAACCCGTTGTCGATCAAAACTGAGCACGTCGCCGCGAGCCTCGCAGTCGGGGTGGTGCATCTGCCTCCGGCGACAAAATCTGTGAAAAAAATGAGCCTTTTGACCATCAAACGATCAGCCAAAATGTGCTTACGTAAGCGTCAAGTGCAGCCTAAAAACGGCCAAGATACTGCCCGGGAAGTCCGGCACAGAAGCAATATAGCGCATCTGGACACAACATCAGTGACATTCGACAGAACAAATCAAATCACAACGTACCAGCATAGTTTCAACGTCCGAGCAAAGGTTCCCCCTCCGGAAGCAGCGCTCGTAGCAACCCCGCCTCGACCAGGAATCTAAGCCCTACATTAGTATCAGCATTATATCACACGACTAAGCGCGACCACTTACATGCCGCCCGAACAGAGGTTCCCCCTCTAGACAATGTGTCGTGGTCGGTCCCGCGCGCAACGGTAGTGTCGGATGGTGGCCGATGACGGTCCAGGCATACGAGCAGAGGTTCCCCCTCTGGTCGAAGACGGGTAGCGAGATCTGAATAGGCAGTCAGCAAATATAGATAAGCAATGAAAGACGGACATACTTTTGGCTAACGCAGCGACGCCTTGTCGAAAACGACATAAAATCTAAGCCCGGCATTAGCATGACATCATATACACATAGGCGCGACAACTTACAAACGGCCCGAGCAGAGGTCCCCCCTCTTGACATCCTTCGTGTCATGGTCGATAACGACACTGGATCATCTTCAGTACCATACAATATGTTGATGGCGGAGTCAACTTACGAGCAGCAATAAAGTGTCCAAGCAGAGGTTCACCGTCCGAGCAGAGGTTCACAGTCTCGGAAGCCAATGACAACCACATATCTAAGTTAGAAAGTCAATACCTTATCACATATAGGAAAGAGGAAGGACATACGATTAGCTGTTCCGCATGCAAGCAAGGTTCCCCATCAGAAACGAGCAGGAGGAGCAACGCCGCCGTTGCAATGTTGACCAGCAATGGCATAGTTTCCCCCCCTCGTTGCGTTCACGGTCGATAACAACACCAGCCGGAGGCTAAGTCGGACATCAGTCACTTATCATGTTGCGAGCAAAACAGTAACTTACAGGGAAATTTTCGTTGCCCGAGCAGCGGTTCACCCTCTGGCGAGAAATTGAGTAGCTCGCCGAGACGACAACCTGATTGATATGTTAGTGCACCATTGCATACAGTCAAGGGGAAACATACCAACAAACCAAAAGGCCAGCAGAGGCAATGACAACGAGCGCAAGCGAGCAGAGGCTCTCCACTGCCCGCCGACAGAAACTGGCATGGTGTGAGGCAGTTCCAGGTACACAGGGACGGAATACATACCTGCAGGTGCGTGCACAAGATGTCCACCGTGACAACTTGCTCGGCGGGCTTAAGGAGTTTTGGTGGTTGTTGTCGGTCAAGACGACGAGTTCCATCTGTCAGAGAAGTCAGAACCCTGCCAGGTTTACATCTAACGACACGTACAGGAGGTAGAGAATGGCGCTGAATGAGTCGAAGAGCGGCCAGAGTTGGTTGTTGCGAACCGGGATTTCTTGTAAAGTCACGAAATGCCCGACTTGAAGGTTGAGTAGGGTGACGAAGAAGTTGCTGTAGGGGTTGCGATGAGCGAGAGCAGCGACGGGACACCAACGAGCATACCTTTGTCGATGGGGGACGCGTCGACAAGCGTCGTGGTGGGGGAGTGAAGACAAGCCAGGAAGTAGCGCGTGACTTGGTTGATGATTTGATTTCTCCACGGAAATCACATCACCGGTGTCAAGCACGCTGTCACCGATTCTGGGTCGGCGAATAGTCGGCACGGGGAATGGTTTGAGGGGTGGGATAAAATTAGCTGCCTGTGCTGGTGCTGTGGATGCAAAGGGCGGACTTGCATGATTACCACACGTGGCGCAAGGCTACACCTCCAGGGGGACGGCTTCAGTGCAGGTAGGCCACGGGCGGCTGCGGAGTACACCCGAAGTGACCGGAATGGCGGGCGGGTTTAAGGTGGGGTGATCGCCGGTGACCTTCGGGGATGGCCCGTCATTGATGCGCACAGGCCTGGTCACGGTCCCCAGCATTGGGGGGGCCTTCTGAGCTGTGCACAGGCATGGAGGAGCAAGCATGCTGAGAGGGACACTGGCATATGGGGCTACTGAAAGGAAAGGAGCAACTGGCCGATAACGTATAGAAGTTATTTTTGGCCACATACCCTGAGGCCGCTCAGGGAATCGAATGCCGCCGGGGCTCAGGAAAACAAACGCCGCCGATGGAGCACAGGCAGTGCACTCAGGGTCTTATTGTGATGGAATTTGAGAAGCACGGCAGACAGGAAATGAAGATTACGGCTGACAGGCCGGATGATGACAACATGAATACCCGTGCTGGCCAGCCAGATATGGTCTCCTTGCTTAGCTGGCTGTTGTTCTTGGGGGTTTTCTCTCGTGCTGTTCAAATCTTTTATTTGCGCAGCACAGTGGGAAATTCCTTTTTTCTCCAATTTTAATACCATTTGACACCGAAACAGACGCGTTTTCAGCGCGCCATGCGCCAATCCCGCGGGGCGCGTTGTTCTTGAGCGCTCAGTTCGGTGTCGCCATCAGCTGCTCACATCCACCACCAAATCGGGCAATTCACCCGGTAGGGCTCGGACTCGTCGCCCTTGACACTTGCACATGGGCTCAATTCAGACTATTTTTAGATGACAGCTACCCCCAAGTAATCCACTGCGTCCGACCCTTATCCACTCGGGATGCTAAACTATTCGAGCAAAAACGCAAATCTACAAAATCCTGCATCGTCTCGACGGCTGGGGGCTATTTCGTCCGATCAAAGACGTCAAAGTGTCAGGGTCACTCAGCCCTACCCTGAATGGCTGTCCGATTTCCTTGCGCGACGGCGGAAATATACGATCTTCCCAAATGATTCATGTTGCCCACATTGATGCCCGTGTTATGAAGCACGGGCTGAGAAGTCAACTGCCGCACTGCCCCCACTTGACAGATCGATCCGTTGCGTGAGTTTTGACGCGTTTATTTGCGTCTCCCAAGTGCCCAGTTGACCAAGCTTCCGCTGAGTTCATGTTTTCCTCACATCTAGATTTCATGCCCATGACGAGCTCAATCTATCCAGGTTTTTGACTCAGAGATACTCGCAAGGACGTTTTTCAACTAGTGCGACACTCAAAATAGCTCGCTTAACCGTCGTCAACTGACATCTTCTCAGTCCAAACTTGATCACTCAGCATTTTGCGAAGATAACGAAAGCATCCAGCCCGGGCGGTGTATGTCACCGAGGGAGTATAAGAAGCCCCGGCCTTCAACCATCGCGCACCTCCCCCTCTTTCTTTCCCCCCACCATGCACCCAAAGTCAACTTCACGTGCTCTTCTTCGCGTCGTCGTCGTCGCACTCTTTCAAGTTCCATTCATACTACTAACTACTTCTAGTCACCATCCTATCCCGCCATCTCACATCGGGTTCTACTGCAGGTCCTACTCGTCCTTCGCGTCCTCGCTAACCTTGTTGCAGAATCTTCTTGCTCTTAGGTTGGTCAGCATTGGGAGAGTCATTTTCGTTGGCGTCATACCGTTCGAATCGCTCTTCACTCGCACGTTTTGTTTGTCCTTCGCTTCTTCACTAACGTTGTTGCAGTCCTCGCACCATGCTGACATCTTCGCCCTCGTGTTGTTGGGAGAGTAAGCGTCCGTTCACCTTCTGCTTTACCTTGCCCTCCTCACTGACCGCCTCGCAGAGCTCCCCTCCACTTCCTCCCCCGCTTCTAACCCATTTCAAGGCTAACTTGTTGGCAGACGACAACGAGATGGGCATTTGGATCGAAATGAAGGTCTATTTGTCAAGGTAAGTTTTGTTACTGCTTTTCACACTTCTTTACTGACCTTGTTGCAGAGTCTTCGCGCAGTTCGCCCATTTGTTGGTCAGCGTTGGGAAAGTTGTTTCTGGTCAGAGTTCGTCCACTTTTTGCCATCTCTTGTCCCCCTCGCTAACCGCATCGCAGAACTCGCCTCCACTTCCTCCCTCTCCCCAATTTTGACCCAGATCGAGCTTGACATTATGGCAGACGACAATGACGTGGGCGTTCGTATTGGGAGGACGGTCTAATTCTCGAGGTAAGCCTTGTTACCGCGACTTTTGCCAATACTGACCTTAAGATATACAGAATCGATGCGTTGTCCTTGACTTGCTTTTTGCGAGCACAGAAGGGTGTCGTAGACTTTTTATTTCACTGATGCCGTCGCTTTAGGTCGGGACTTGTTTTATGGAGCTGGGAAGGTGTCGTCGTCGAGGAGGGTGATTTTGCGATCCAAGGGGGTACGTGTTCTGGCCGACTTGACTCTACATTGAAGCGCTGACCTTATTTTGCAGAGCCTTGGAGATGGGTGCGGAGTCATTGGCGGCAAGGGACGTGTCGAGCGAGCCTGGTTTGGCGTTGGCGGCTACCTCCTGCCGACAAACGGCTTCGTTTGGATATCTTTGGCGAAAAGCAGCAGCTGCCGAGTTGCCGCGTCTGGATAGCGCTGGCCGTTCTCGCTCAATGGTCACCGGCAGCATGGCGATGGTCTTGGTGGCTGGTGCAGGTGTTGGCGGGAGGCGGAGGATGGTTTTTGCCGTTAGATTTTGAGATTGCGAGCGTGATGGCTGGGTTGCCCCGCCGTGTCATGTGCGGCAGCGTAAAGGCCGTGTCTTGAGCGTCTGAGGCCCCGAGGCGGAGGCGCCATCGTCGGGGACAGTGAGGGTGTGAGGGAAATTTTCGTAAGGCCGCTGTCAGCGTGTGATCGATCGACCCGTGTGAGGCTGTGCCCGCCCGACTTTCAACCAACCAACACGATCGAAATCGCTCCACCCTCTGACGCGACTGTCGGCAGTGGCGGGCAGTGGCCGACCTTGGGATAGTGCAAAGGGAGCCTGCCGGGCCGTGGTATGTCTCACGTGCACGTTTCTGGTTTGCGACAGCATGCTGACCACTACTTAGTAGAAGCACTTCCTTTAAGCCCGTGCCCATGCCGACGCCAACACCAACGCCCTCAGCAAGCTCTACACTGCTCCCAGGTACGCTGTATATCACTGTTTCTCACGCGCTTTACTTACATCTCGCAGGACTTTAGATCTTCAAGCGTTTATGCGAATGGGCACGCATCATGGCTCGGTCCACTCCGGTGAGTCTACTACCTACTCTTTCTTTCACACTATCCTGAACACTTGCTCAAGCCCTTGCCCACATGGTACTCGACCACTGTCTTCGCTTCTGGACGGCTCTTGGATAGCAATGCTGGTGTCGGTGAGTTCTCTTCGTTGACTCTTCTGCTTTCGGTGACCCTGTTGCAGTCACTCTATGTCTTCTGCCTCAAACAAGGTTGTTCTATTTGCTGTCGCTATCGTTGTTGTCGTTGTCAAAGGTGTGTCATCTCCCTTCCAATTTCTATCGATCTTATCCAAATTTCTCTAGCCTGTGTCGGAATCAGAAACTTCCGTGCTAGTTGGGCCAGAAGCATCGTTGTCCGCCAATTACAAGAAAGCATTGCGTTGTTCAAGCATGGTATGTAAGTTTCTTTGTCTGCAGATATCACGATTGAACGTTGCTGATATTGTCTTCGCTTAGACAATACATATATCTATATGGTCAGCCCTCTGGCCTTGTCGCCCGGTTTCAACTCCCTCGTGAGTGTCCTTAACATCGTTGTCGAAAAGCTTTCTAACTGTTTGTTAGTGCCGTGAATAGTATTGAAGAGCGAGGGCCTTTGGTTGTCCTAGATGGCCTGCTCGTCGACAAACCTCGATGTTCTTGCTGTTTTGTGCCCATTTTGACATGGCTAACCTTTGCGTCCGAGTCAGTGGTGCTTGCGTTGCAGATGAGCTCGATTTATTCCTTCTGCGAGCGGGACCGGTAGGCCGTCTTGCTCCTTGGCCCGCTTTGGCCAAAACTGACCTAATTGCAGGTTCTTGATCAACATCGGGCATCCGACTGCTCTGAATTTCTCGGTCCAAGTTTGCGCAAGAGCTACTTTGCTGCCCATATTTCTGACCAAGCTGTGCAGATTCCTCCACGCGCGATCGCTCAATCGCCAACGTGAGCAGGAGAATACCTTTCAAACTAGGGAAAAACTGACCCGACTTCTAGTTTCTGCTCCATGTCGACCATGCAGGGCATTTGCGCCGAACGCGCTGGGTGCGGAACTCACGAATGACGGCGGGAGGATGTCATGTTGTCTGGTAAGTCATCTCGGTCATTTTTCGTAGTTAGCCCAAGCTTACCTTAATCCCAAGGTCGTGCTCTACATTCTGCGCTATTGCGTGTTCACTCAACGTGAGCGGGGGCATATCATGCTCATTTATCTTTCAAATTGGGCAAAGCTGACCCAGAACCCACAGATTCTGCTCCGCGTTGACGATGCGGGCATTCGCGCTGGATGCGGAACGTTGGGAGGGTGTGCTGTTGTCAGTAAGTCATCTCGGTCATTTTCCGTATTTAGGCCAAGCTTACCTTAAGCCCAAGGTCGTGCTGTACATTCTGCGCTATCGCGATGGACAGGTCTCCTCTGCGTCTCCCTTGTCGTGCGTGGTTTCTGCCTCCCGCTTTCTCATCCACTGACTCTACATTCAAGTTAGCATAGCCAATTTGGCGCGAATCGGGAGCGGCAGCGGCTCGGGAGATAGCTTCCAGTGAAGCTGGTCGATCGCGGGAGGGCGGCATTGTGTTGCCGCAGAGGCCGCATCGTTCCCCGCGTGTCGTGCGTCTTTTCTCTTTCTCGCTGTTCCCCGACTGACTTCTCGTTAGCGACGTTGATTCGGCGGGAATCGGCGGCGGCAGTGGTTCGGGGAAGGCTACAGGCAGCCGCCCGTGATGCTGGTCGAGTGCGGAAGGTCGGCTTTGAGCTGCCGGGGAGACTTTTGTTGATTTGTTATTACTTAGTGGTTGTGCGAGTTGAGTGCTCGCGGCCGTCTTGCTTGCCGACTTGGGCGCGTTTCCGCGCGCCGGCCAAAGACGTAGCTCGGGCCGGGCCATGGGCAGGTCCGTCGGTGGGCTAGCGGGCAAGGGTGGTCAGCGACACGTGCCCGGGCCTCGCGCCCGGCCGGCCGGTTGTGGTCCCACGCTCCTTCGTCTTGCCCGCCATGTCGTTTAGCTTGTCTGGCGTCCACTGGGTTAGCGAGCGGGCCATTGCGGATGGTACTCGCGCTCGCACTCTGGCGGGCCGCGGGTCTCGTAGTTGCCGGGGACGCAGCTGCAGCACTAGCACGCCTCGGTGAAAGTGCTGGTTGTTTGGCCAGCGGTATGCTAAGAGGTGAGACTTTCCTTTTGCTTCGCTTTGCATCTTACTTATCGTTCGTCGCAGCCGTGTGGACACTGCCGCGGTCTTTTATGGCTATTGTCCGTAGCCTCACCTTGTCGAAGGGCAAACGTGAGCGGAGTTGCTGGTGCGTACATGTCTTTGACTCAAGTCGGGCGAAACTGAAGCAAACTCCCAGTTCTTGCTGGACACCGGCCCTCGCGCTCGATGATGGTCAGTCTCTGGTCGCTCTCTCACTGTATTTAACCCCAGCTGACCTTAATACAAGCTGTTGGTGGATGCGCTTGCTGGAGAGCTCGCAAACGCGCGGGGGGATGTTCTTTTTGTCTTGCTGAGCCGGGTGGCTCTTGCGCTGCACGAATGACGCCGGGATGTGGTTCACTGTCGTCCGGTCGTATGTTATCTCGCGCTTTTTCCGTATTTACCCCAAGCTGACCTTGATACACAGGTCGCGCTCGACATCCGTCACTCAGCGTTATAGCGGCATCGCGCTCGATGCAGGCGGGAAGTGGTATGTCTTTTTTCTTTGTTTGCATTGAGCCGAGGCTGACCTTAATTCAAGATTCTGGACTTGGAGCTCACTGCTCAGATATTCGCTGGAGCCTGTATATCTCACCGAAAGATCAATTGACAACATTTCTGAATCTCGGCTGTTGCTACTTCAGCCCCAAAGGCTGTCCACACTGAGTTTAAATCAAAACTAGGATTCGATTCTAGCCCTGTATGCTAGTACATGGGGCCCAGCTCGAAGGTAATACTATCGAAGCATCAAGATAGGTACATAAGCGCGCAGGACTGGCTGCACTACAAGCATCGCGTCCTGGCGATACGGTCGTGGTACGAGAGCAGGTGCAAAGCAAGGGTCGGAAAGCGGGTTCGTATCAAGAAGAGACAGTGCTGTCTGGGGACGTGGTCATGTAAAGGATGGACGGGAGTTGTTGGGGGAGGGGAGTCGGAGATAATGTGGACGGAGTAATCGGGGGTTGTGGTGGAACAATGGCAAAACTGTGCTCAGAAGGAACGGGCAACGCCAGCCCGATGCATGTGGCGAACCCGGGAACGACGGACTTCCTCGCGGACATCGACAACCTCTTGACGGCGGTGGTGGGAACGTTTCGCCCGACAGGAAGCTGAGCCAGATTTCGTCGGTACCGCGGATGCGACACTCGTGGTAGAGGAAGCCGGAGACGAAGCTTTCTTGGTGGTAGAGCTTGCAGGAGGGGAAGTGCTCTTCTTTGTGGTGGCGGGGGGAGGACGGCTTCTCGGTAGTGTTATCATCAGAGCCACCCTGTGCTGGGGCCGGAGATCCACCACCAATGAAAGAGGCCACGGCTGGGCCTGGAAATTTGTAGGCGCCCTTCATGTTATAGACCTGGTGATGGGGACGGGTTAGTACAGCGAATAAGCATGATGAATGGCCGCACGTCAATGAGAATCCCAGCGTCAGTCGGTTTGTATGCGCCAGGAAGCTTGACGGTCTCGCTGTCGCTTGGCACACCCTTGCCTGCGCCAGTGACACTGAGCTGCACACAGCCAGGGTAAAACTCTGCACCGCCTTGAGACTGCGCAGTGTGGAGGGCGATGATTTCGTGTCGGAGGAGATAATTGCCCGCCTTGAGGTTCGCCGGAATGGTTACGGTCGCTGGAGAGCCATTGTCTATTTGGAGCGGTGAGTCAAAACGAGATTTAACATGAGGATGGGATTCGACACACCAAGGTTTGCCTGAGCCCATTTACCGCTCGCATCCATGCCCTGTTCTTGTATTTTGAACCACTTGGCCTTGCTGGCGTCAAATTGAGCACAATTGCCGCCACAGTCCGCCATATAGGCCATCATGGGACCAACATCATGGAACCAGAAGCCGGAGCCCGTGAGCGTCTGCCAGAACACATCGAGCTTGCTACCGGCAGCGACGGTGGCCACTTGGCTGGCGAGCTTTGCGTCTTTGCCGCAGGTAAGGTCGGGCGATGTTGTGTCCTTGACAGGGAGGTTGTTCGCAATCTGGCGGATGGCACTGGAGGCAGCGTTGGGCAGCTCTTCGGTGGGCTCGTTGCCTTTGAAGAGCTTCTTGGCGCCGCCCACGCTAACGCTAACAGAACCGATCCAGCCATGGGCGAGAACAGAAGAGACAAGGGTGAAGGCAACAAGGACGGACTTCATTGGTGGGCGAGCGAGCGTCGTGAGGGAGTGACTGGACAGGAGGCGGAAGCAAGGCGGAAAGGAGGAAGATGAGGGGAGAGGAAAAAGAGCAAAGCTGGCTTGGTCAACCGAGCAAGGCTTCGATTGAGTGGAGCGTATTTTGATCGGCTGATCGCTTCCCGATGGTTACTCCTCTACTAGTCCTCGAGTTGGAACTGGCAGAACAATGTCAATTTTATGGTCATTAATCAGCTATTCTAGCTAGTGTAGAGCGTCCACAGCGTATATATTTCTTCGAAGTATATCAAAGAAAGGCTGTCATCATGATTCCAGAGAAAAAAGGAAATGACCAACTTGTGAACAACATTCTTGTGAAAATCTAACTAGTGAGAACATTTAGGAACTTTGGGTATATTAATAGCAACCCAACATATCTTAGCTTGACGGTATCCATATCCTGGGGGAATTGTCTGAATTTCAGGCTGATTCCTCGCACTTGTCAACTTCAATGCCAAGTGCAAAATCAAATACTGAAGTACTGTCCTTCAACTAAAGTTCGACGCGGATATTCGAGCGGTATGACTACCGACTCACAGAATAGCATTCATATTGATACATTTCACAAATTGCTTATACTTTACACAGGGAACTGCAACGTCAAATTCGTCAAAAACTGCATGCCCGCCGCACGGAACGTATCCTGCGTAATCGTGGTCGGGATGAGGCCATCAAGGAAGGTCATCAGATTGGGCGTCGCGGTCGTATAGGCCGGCCAATTCGGCACTGTGCGACCATTGGGGTTGAGGTTGTTCGTGAAGTAGATCAGGTAGTCCGTCAGCTCGCCGCCAAAGTACACGTTCAGGATGTCGCCTCGCGTGGAACGAGCCGAGGAAGGGCACGAGCTTCTCGCGCTTGCTCACTGTCGACGGAGTAAGCGGGGGGGCGCAAAGGAAACATGTATTTGGACGCACAAAAGCCCCACTGGTTCTGCTTTCCTGAGCGCGATTGCTGGAAAAATCGTCGCGGGCGCTTGGAAGACCGCGTCTCCTTGGAAAGCGGCGATGCGCTTGAACTGCGGGGTCAACGCGTCCGCAAAGCCAGTGTCGAATGGCGAGCCAGCAGGGAGGTCGCTGGGGTAGAGCGAGTTCAGTGAGTTCAGCTGGGCAGTCGTCGCTCCGGGCACCCAAATCTGCTTGATATATGAAAGGAACTGGGCGTCCGTGCTACAAGGGCGTGAGATGGCGTTCGAGAAGGGACGTTAACATACGTGATGTTCGTCGTGGAAAAGGAAAAGAGCGTCCCTTCATCGTCGCAGTCGCCTGAAAGTAAGTCTTGAATAAAGGTCAAATACTGAAGTCGAGGACAGACCGTTGACGAATGGGACAGGCGAGACTTTGCCTTGCTGGACGAGGGTTTGCGGATTTGCTGTCAAGAACTTTCCGTCTTCGCGAGGCAGCCAGGCGAGCAGCAACGACTAAACCGGCGTTGAGAAGAGAATCAGCAGGAAAGCTAATTATAACTGCGGACCTGGTAGTCAAAAATGAACGGCGTCGCATCTTGGGCAGCCTTAAGAGTCGCGAAAGGAACAGTCCGCAAACAAGCAAGGGTATCCGCAGCGCCAGAGCAACCGACTTGCTTCACGATTTGGTCGTAATCTGCACACTCGTGTTAGCAAACTTGAACAGAAGCCAGAATATGGATCAGACGCACATTTCTGCCCATTCTCCAGAGGGCCAGTCGGAATAGGAGACCCTGACTCCATAAAGCCCCCGCGGAAAAGCCCCTCGTTGTCTCCGTTGTTAGCTACCATTTGAAGGGCAACCGATATCGCGCCAGCTGATTCGCCCCAACTACCAACAGTATCAGCAGGAAGTGGGAGTGCATATGATCTACACACATTGTGACCTTGGTCGGGTCGCCGCCAAATGCCCCGATGTACTTCTGAACCCAGCGAAGGGCTTGTCGTTCTAAATAAAAGAGATCAAGACCAAGAAATGAAAGAGGCAGTGAGAACGCACGGTCTTGCAGGCCAAGATTGCCAACTCCGGCGGCGCGGACTTCCTTGCTAGCGAGGAAACCAAATGCTGTCGAATAGCGTCAAATACGGAAGGTTAAAGGGGCAAGGTGGTACACGCCTGATACCCGGTAGTTCATCGAAACATATATGACTGGCTGGCCGATAGCAATTGACCGTTCGACGATAGTGGTCCCATCATACCTGTCGTTGGACAATAAGTACAAGAAACACGCTGAAGATAAAACGTACATTTGAGGGCTTCCGAGCTCGAATCCTCCACCGAAAATCCACTGGGTGCCATATCAGTCTTGCAATTTCTCAAGCTGTCCGCATCACATACCGCAACAACAGGTAACTTGGACGTGGACGTCGCAGTCGCGGGCTTGATGACGTTGATAGTCAGGCCTGCAAAGAAAATGAGCTTATGAATAACAGGGAGGGGAACAGCTGACAGTCTTCGCTGGATGGGAACACGATTCCAAAGATCGAGTTGATGACCTTGTCGACGACGTCTCCCGGGAGGCCAGTTAAGAGAGGGAGCTTGACTGCCTGCTGTGGACAACCGGGGCCCATGACAGTGGCCGAATGGGTTCCGGTGTACGGGGAGTTGGCCACTGGAAGGCGGAATCGAAGGTCGCCCACACTAAAAATGCGTGGTCAGCTATGATGAGGGAAATGAATACCACATTACGGCGGCTGGGCAAACGGGATGCCGAGAAAGCTCTGCGTATTTCGCGACCCTGTCGTGCCCGTGAATATCCCCGAGTCGAGAGTCACGCTAGGCGCCGCGCGAGCTGCAATGCCGCCCAAGACCACATGTGCATGGGCCAAAAGCGCGAGGAAGGCGGTGGAGAGGAGGGCAGGCATAGTGGCAAGCTACCAGGGCCTCGCACAGCCGAACTTGAAGGTCGTGCCTGAGGCCCAATCCATCTCCGACAGCCCTTTTATATGCCAGAGAACTGATAAGGTCAACTTTCATCCGGCAGTGGACGGTGAAATACGAAGAGAGAGAGACATAAGCGGTCATGGGAGAGTGTCACGCGAGGCATTGGCCGCCGATTGTTGATCCTGGTTCCAGGAGATGGGGGAAGAGCAGCGACGACCAGCGAAGAGAAAGGCGTTTGAGAACGGTGGCGAGACCAGTGGCAGGATCGTCCGCAATACCAAGAGAGTTTTCCCCATGCATACCCCGCATTGGAAGTGCGGGGAAGCCTGGACTCGCTGTCAGGCGAGTCGCTGAAAACGGGTCCATGCGTTCCTGTTCGGCTATCGGAAAATCGTATACAGTCGAACCCCTCATAACCCATAGCCATCGGTGGAAGCCCCAAAGCATGGGTTATAAGAGTTCATGGGTTCTGAGAGGAGCGAAAAAAAATCATTTAAAAAGCCATATTTATTACTTGTACTAATAGTAGATGTATTCTAAGGGTTCTCTAAGCTGTTCTAGTCATCCATCGAGTGATTTGAGTGTCAACCATTGCATTTGTCTCTTCCAGCTGAGTTTGGCGACCAAAAGAGGCAAGTAACTGTTCCAGCCTACGAGCGTAGCCATCGGAAAGTGTCGTGGTGAAGCGTTGAATGACAGAAACAGCCTCTAGCGCCTCGCGACGCGATGGTCTCGGCATTATGTCTGCGCGTCGTCGTCAACATCATCATCTCCCCCATTCTGATCTGCCATTTCCTGGCGCTTCCGAGCTTCAGTCACCGCCTTTGCAATCTCTTCGACAGATGCTTCTTCCATGTGAACCTTTTCATCAGCAGGATTCAGCAAGTCCTCGATGGTCAGCCGATTGACAGCCTGGAGGATCTTGCGAGACTCGAGATCATCCAGACGACGTTCGAGAACTTCTTCGGCAGTGGGTACGGCTGGTGTGGTCGAGGAAGTGGTGGGAGATGAAGCGGGAAGGAGGGAAGTGGGCAGAATGCCAGATTTACACCAGCAGTTTGCGATGGTCTTGCTGGAAACATCCTCCCAAGCCACCTATAGTGCACCATATTTCTCTCTAGTTAGAGGGTCAGGACCCCCCACGCTGACCCTCTAGTAACTAGAGGGAAATAGAGCACTGTAGGGCACCCCCGCTAATTCAAGCTTAGCGCGCTGCTCTTCTCAGCGGGGGAGAGCACCTACTGGCCCAGCCGTTGCCCACCGTCACCCCGCCGTCACTCCGCGGCCTGCCCCGCCGCTGCCCCCGACCCCGCCCCCCTGCCCCCCGCCATCGTTGCCATCAGCGTGATGTGACGTCAGCCCGATCAACATCAACGCCATCTGTCAACGCCCGTGGCGACCGTTGACGCCGCACGTTCCGCGGCTGTCCCGGCCTGTCGCCGTTGACAGCCCCGCCCGCGCTTCGCTGTGCTCGACGTCGTTGAGCACAGCGAGCTCAATTCTTGTCCGTTTGGCACGGGACCACGTGTATTTGATAGATATGATGTAATACAGTAGATTTCCATCACATTTAGGCCCGCGTGTGCGCCGCTTGCCCGGCCGACCCTCCCGCCCGCTGTCCCGCCCTCCCGCCCGCCCCCCGCCCGCCCCTGCCCGCCCCCCGACCCAAAAAATTAAAAGTTGGGGAATCAAAAAAGAACACGTGCCGTATAGATGGCACCACTCAAATCGCGTTCGTTGCTGAGATATAGCGCGTTCTTGTTAACTCAAGTTGATGATGTAATTTTCAAAAAAATAGAAAAGTTGCGTATTGATTGGAAAGCACGGGCAGTACAAGTTTCACCGGAAAAAACGCGTTCATTGTCGAGATATGACGCGTTCTTGTTAACTCACTCTGCCACTACGTATGGTTGTTAACTCAATTTTGACCAATATGGTTGTTAACTCAAATGTCCCTATCATTATCCTCTGTAATTCGTACAATCTGGTCAAAAGCCTCATTTAGGCCCTCCACCTCCTCATCATCTGTTTCATCATCATCCTGATCCTCCTCCTGCTCCTTATCACCCGTTTCCCTCCATCTTCTGTCCTCCAAGCCCAATCCACCAGTTGCATTCTCAGGCACCTGCCTCTCCTTGCAGAGGCCTTGGCCTGGAAGAATAGTCCCAGTGAAACCCCTCAGCTTGCTCAGCTTAGACAGACGTTCCATATGAACACCAGAAAATCTTCCTCGGAGCATTCGATACTGCTGAATCTGAGTTGCTCGTGCGTGGCGTCCTTCAGCCTTCAGTCGATTCTCGTGGAAGACCAAGAACCTCTCTTCCTCCCTCATATAGGTCACGAGCCGAAGAATCTCCACATCCAAACGAAGCCTTTCTTCCTCTGCCCTCAACAGCTTGAAATAATGGTCCATCGCGGCCCGAGCACCTGGTTGGGCCCATGGCGCCTTTCGAATATCTTCTCGACCGAGTCGTAGCAGGTCGAAATCAGCCAGGAATGCATAATCCATCACTTCCTCCCAAGAGAGTGTAGGTCGATCTGATGCCCGTGCAGCTTCATTGTACTTGGCCAGAGCGTTCTTGAGGGCTTGTGAACGCGCTTGAAGCGCCTTTGCAATATGCTTGTGCAGCTTATACCCTGCAAATTCATCAGCAATCAAGTCTCTTAAGAAGGAATAGAATACCTGTTCCAGCCATATTCACCCTTGCCAGTTCCAGCAGCCGCGAAATGATGAGGCCTTGGACATTGTCCAGTGCTCGTTGATATCTGCGCTCGCTGACTAGGCCGCTTGCTGCAACCCATTCTGGGCTGTCAGGCCTCCATCGCTCCTCGATTTGCATCCGACGTTCCAAATCCATCACCACCTCCAGGCACTTGTCCCGCAACTCGGTCGCATGCCGTCGTTCAGTTTCAAGCCGGGTTGTTTCCTTTTTGGCAGCTTCGTACCCACGGCTCCCTTCCTCAGGTATGAAGACCAGTCGATCGGCAAGACAGGCGTTGAAACGTTCTCTGAGCCATTGATCAGTCACAATCCGAGAAATAAAAAGGATACGTACTCAGCCGCCTGTAGATTCACTAGCTTTTGATAGTACTCCATTTGCGCTGTTTCCTCTGGCGGCTCCGCCGAAAGCTTGCTGAGATGGTCCATCTCAGCTTGCAGCCACTCCTGGAAGACCTCTCGACTTGCTATCCCCAAGGTCTTCATCGTCTCAGACAGCGCTGATTCTGTATCGAGAATCTCCAGCGCATGGTGATACTTGCTCACCAAAGTAGAAGCTGCATTGAAGTCAGATTAGGCATTCGTCGCTGAAGGGTCTCTCACAAAGGTTTGCGTATGCCTCGAAGACATCAGAATGGGCGCAGTACTCCACGATTTCTTGTTGGCGGTGGAATCTTGACATGTAACGCGTGGTGCCCGAGAGTGCATTTGAACGGGAGAAAAACGACTCAGCACCTTCGAAGGGCTCTAGTCCGGCTCCCGGGGTATACATGGGCAGACGGCGGCATTGGCAGGCACGGGCATGGCCACAGCCATGGAAGGCCCCGACGACCGCATTGAATTGGTGCTTCTCGGCGAGTGGTGCAATGAGAGGGTGACTTCGGACCCATTTGAGGTATTTGCATCCGATGTCGAATCCAGCAAGTAGCTTCTCCAAGATTCGAAGGAGCTCAGCTGTGACAGCGAGGCCGTATTTTGCTCTGAAGTTGAGTTAGCAATTGAGTTAATGGTTGTCCAATTTGACTCACAACTCCCCGCTTCGGACCATGTCGACGATGAAAAACGTAAAGCTGTGTCGACAGAGGGGCGATGAAGATTCCCGTCTCTTCATAGAGGCCCCAAGCCTTCGTCACCACCGACTCCTTCATGTTCTGCCATGTACGCCCACAACCGTCCCCTTCTTCGTCGTATCCTGGATTAAAGCCCTTGAGCAGCTCGTCAGCTGCATCCTTCCCATACTGGTCAACAAGTTCCCGAGGAAGATAGTAGTCTCGGGGAGGAAGACGATTGTCCGGCGCCTCCCGGGACTCCCCGGGGACATTTACACCATCTTGGACCAGACGTTCTCGTCGGTCGAATCTCTTCAATGCATTGTTGCCATCCAGCGTGAAAAACACGCCAGGAATAAGCAGCTCGGGTTCTCCCTTGACCTTGTACGTGCAGCATGGGCACGCATTCATAACGCGCCAATCAGGTTTGTCGCGCTGGAGCTCGGCAGCCACACTTGCGAATGATTTCTTTGGTGCGGAGGAAGAGGTCGTAGGCCACTGTAAATTGCCTCACGAGGTGGGGATGGGGAGGGATGGTGTGGAGATCGCATATTGAGCGGATGAAGGCCTGCTTCCCAAGCTTCGGACATCGTAGGTGCATTGAATGAAATAGGTTGAGAAGGCGGGAGGTGAAGCCGACAGCTGGGGATATTGGGGACGCCGGGTATATCCCTTGTCGAACAAGACTAGAGGCGACATACGGGTCGCCAATGATATAATTTATGTCGGTCTTGACGGATTCTGATGGGATTGTTAACTCAAATACTTTGGGAAGACGGCTGGAAAAAAACGCACTGAAGACGTCCACAACATGAATTGCCGTCCATTTCTGAACCACAACATCGTCGGGCAGCTCATAGGCAGCATCAGCCCCATGTTGTTCCACAAAATGAGCGTATTGCTCCTCCGCGTCTGCAATGGCCTCCATTTGGACCCCAAAGCGGTCAATAACTTGCTGATTCCTACGCTTTTGGTATCGAAACCGTCGTCTCCGTGTGCTGGGTCGGCTTGGGGACGGTTAGCTTCCATGGATAAGCAGAGACATTGCAAATGACGAACTTGTGTGTTGCGGACAGAAGGGAGTACATTTCCCTTGCGTCGTCGGCAAGACTAGTGCCCAGCGGTTCCTCTCCCCCAGCGCTAATGTCCATTCGAGTGCTTCCGTCCAGTACATCTTGTTCGTAGTCGTCGATATCCATGGGGTCCGGTATGT